CGGAAATATTCACGAAAATATTCATGGAAATATTCAAGAAATATTCAAAGGAATCATTGATTACAAAGATTATCACATGTGATAAGGGGGAAGGAAACCTGTGTTTGCCACATATCTTGCTTTCTACAATATTGCCAGGAAAACAAAAGGAGTGATCTTCATAGGGAACCAGTCCGATGATGGTTGGTGAAATTAAAAATATTCAAAAAATAATCCAAAAAATATTCACGGAAATATTCACAGAAATATTCACGGAAATATTCATGAATATATTCAAGAAATATTCAAAGGAATGATTGATTACAAAGATTATCAAATGTGATAAGAGGGGAAGAAACCCTTGTTTGCCACATATCTTGCTTTCTACAATATTGCCAGGAAAAGAAAAGGAGTGATCTTTATAGGGAACCAGTGTGATGATGGATGGTGAACTAAAACATATTCCAAAAATATTCGCGGAAATATTCACGGAAATATTCACAGAAATATTCACGGAACTATCCATGAATATATTCAAGAAATATTCAAAGGAATGATTGATTACAAAGATTATCAATTTGAGAAGGGGTGAAGGAAACCTTTGTTTGCCACATATCTTGCTTTCTACAATATTGCCAGGAAAACAAAAGGAGTGATCTTTATAGGGAACCAGTGTGATGATGGTTGGTGAAATAAAAAATATTCAAAAAATATTCACGGAAATATTCACGGAAATATTCATGAAAATATTCAAGAAATATTCAAAGGAATGATTGAATACAAAGATTAAAAAATGTGATAAGGGGGGAAGAAACCTTTGTTTGCCACATATCTTGCTTTCTACAATATTGCCAGGAAAACAAAAGGAGTGATCTTCATAGGGAACCAGTGTGATGATCGTTGGTGGAACTCAACAGCTCTTCCAGAAAAATATTCCAAAATATTTCCACGGAAATATTCGCAGATATATTCACGGAAAATCTGCAGGAAATTCTCCTAGAAATATTCAAGGGAATGCTAGAAGACAAAGATTAAAAAATGTGATAAGGGGGGAAGAAACCTTTGTTTGCCACATATCTTGCTTTCTACAATATTGCCAGGAAAACAAAAGGAGTGATCTTCATAGGGAACCAGTGTGATGATGGTTGGTGAAATAAAAAATATTCAAAAAATAATCCAAAAAATAGTCACGGAAATATTTACGGAAATATCCACGGAAATATTCATGAAAATATTCAAGAAATATTCAAAGGAAAGATTGATTACAAAGATTATCAAATGTGATAAGGGGGGAAGGAAACCTGTGTTTGCCACATATCTTTTGTCCTACAATATTGCCAGGAAAAGAAAAGGAGTGATCTTCATAGGAAACCAGTGGGATGATAGTTGTTTAAAAAAAAAAAAAATCATTAATATTAAAAAAATATTCAAAAATATCCAAAAAATATTCACGGAAATATTCATGAAAATATTCACGGAAATATTCATGAAAATATTCAAGAAATATTCAAAGGAATGATTGATTACAAAGATTAAAAAATGTGATAAGGGGGGAAGGAAACCTTTGTTTGCCACATATCTTGCGTTCTACAATATTGCCAGGAAAACAAAAGGAGTGATCTTCTTAGGGAACCAGTGTGATGATGGTTGGTGAAATAAAAAATATTCAAAAAATATACACGAAAATATTCACGGAAATATTCACGGAAATATTCAGGAAAATATTCAAGAAATATTCAAAGGAAAGATTGATTACAAAGATTATCAAATGTGATAAGGGGGGAAGGAAACCTTTGTTTGCCACATATCTTGCGTTCTACAATATTGCCAGGAAAACAAAAGGAGTGATCTTCATAGGGAACCAGTCCGATGATGGTTGGTGAAATTAAAAATATTCAAAAATATTCAAAAAATAATCACGCAAATATTCATGCAAATATTTCAGAAATATTCAAAGGAATGATTGATTAAAAAGATTAAAAAATGTTATAAGGGGGGAAGGAAACCTGTGTTTTCCACATATCTTGCGTTCTACAATATTGCCAGGAAAACAAAAGGAGTGATCTTCTTAGGGAACCAGTGTGATGATGGTTGGTGAAATAAAAAATATTCAAAAAATAATCCAAAAAATATTCACGGAAATATTCACGGAAATATTCACGGAAATATTCATGAAAATATTCAAGAAATATTCAAAGGAATGATTGATTACAAAGATTATCAAATGTGATAAGGGGGGAAGAAACCTTTGTTTGCCACATATCTTGCTTTCTACAATATTGCCAGGAAAAGAAAAGGAGTGATCTTCATAGGGAACCAGTGTGATGATGGTTGGTGAAATAAAAAATATTCAAAAAATAATCCAAAAAATATTCACGGAAATATTCACGGAAATATTCACGGAAATATTCATGAAAATATTCAAGAAATATTCAAGAAATATTCAAAGGAATGATTGAATACAAAGATTAAAAAATGTGATAAGGGGGGAAGGAAACCTGTGTTTGCCACATATCTTGCGTTCTACAATATTGCCAGGAAAACAAAAGGAGTGATCTTCATAGGGAACCAGTCCGATGATGGTTGGTGAAATTAAAAATATTCCAAAAAAATTCCAAAAATATTCACGGAACTATTCACAGAAATATTCACGGAAATATTAATGAAAATATTCAAGAAATATTCAAAGGAATGATTGATTACAAAGATTATCAAATGTGATAAGGGGGGAAGGAAACCTGTGTTTTCCACATATCTCGCGTTCTACAATATTGCCAGGAAAACAAAAGGAGTGATCTTCTTAGGGAACCAGTGTGATGATGGTTGGTGAAATAAAAAATATTCAAAAAATAATCCAAAAAATATTCACGAAAATATTCACGGAAATATATTCACGGAAATATTCACGAAAATATTCATGAAAATATTCAAGAAATATTCAAAGGAATCATTGATTACAAAGATTATCAAATGTGATAAGGGGGAAGGAAACCTGTGTTTGCCACATATCTTGCTTTCTACAATATTGCCAGGAAAACAAAAGGAGTGATCTTCATAGGGAACCAGTGTGATGATGGTTGGTGAAATAAAAAATATTCCAAAAATAATCCAAAAAATATTCACGGAAATATTCACAAAAATGTTCAAAGGAATGATTGATTACAAATATTATCAAATGTTATAAGGGGGGAAGGAAACCTGTGTTTGCCACATATCTTGCTTTCTACAATATTGCCAGGAAAACAAAAGGAGTGATCTTCATAGGGAACCAGTGTGATGATGGTGTGTGAAATAAAAAATATTCAAAAAATAATCCAAAAAATATTCACGGAAATATTCACGGAAATATTCACTGAAATATTCACGGAAATATTCACGGAAATATTCACGGAAATATTCAAAGGAAAGATTGATTACAAAGATTATCAAATGTGATAAGGGGGAAGGAAACCTGTGTTTGCCACATATCTTGCGTTCTACAATATTGCCAGGAAAACAAAAGGAGTGATCTTCATAGGAGATCAGTGTGATGATGGTTGGTGAAATAAAAAATATTCTAAAAATGATCCCAAAAATATTCACGGAAATATTCACAAGATGTTCAAAGGAATGATTGAATACATATATTATCAAATGTTATAAGGGGGGAAGGAAACCTGGGTTTGCCACATATCTTGCTTTCTACAATATAAAAATATTCAAAAAATATTCAAAAAATATTCAAAAAAATATTCACGAAATTATTCATATTGGCTCTTCCCTCACTTGGTGGCATGACTAATAGCTCCTCCCTCCTGTGTGTGTCCTCTTCAGGTGCAGTACAAGAAGCAGTACGAGAAGGGCAAGGCGGAGGCCGACTACAACACGCTGCCGGCCACGGAGAATCCTCTCCTCCGGCAGCTCAGATACGCCGGCACCATCCTCAGCGATGTGGGTGTCTGCAAGAAGATCTCAGCATCACAAACATCTCCTCTCAGATCTCATATCTTAAATCTGTGAATCCTCTGCTGCTCCCAATTGCATCCTATTCTAACGTCACTATGACCTCCCGCTGCATTCTGGGATATTTTGGTTCATATCTTTAAACTCGTTCAAATTAGGTGATCATTCATTCAAAGGCTGAAGAGAATAATGAAGTGAATATATATATAGATATGACGAGGATGTAAAATCAAGAACGTGTCTCTGAACTGATTTCAATTTTTTTCTGAATTGAGATCCTAATAAAACCATCCGGAAAGGAAATGCATGCTGGGAAATCCAAGTAATCCATACAATGATACATTAGATTCAATCCAGCGAGGTGTTTTCTTATTTGAGTCACTGATCATTATTCATGTGATGTTTCGTTTCTTTTTCCACAGAAAGTATACAAAGCCAGTTATGAGAAGTCCAGAGGCTCCAGCATCAACTACTGCGACACACCCAAGTTCCAGATGGACTCCGTGCTCAAGAAGCTCACCGACGTGAGACCTCAGAGAAGGCCTTGAATGTTTTGGTTTCTGGTTTCTGCATTGTGTCTTCACCTTGGGGTTGGTTTCTCTGTAGAGCCGTTACAAAGAGAAGTACGACCGCGAGGTGAAGGGCCACTACATCGGCAGCTACGAGGACGTCTACATGCTGCACTGCCAGAAGATGGAGGAGATGAAGAGCGAGGTAAGCTCCACTATCATTCCTTTAATATAACATCCGTTCATCACCACCACGTCTCTCATTGTGCTCTCCTCTTTGATCTCGCAGCAACTTTATAAATCCGAGTATGAAGACATTAAGACGCGCTGCTTCTTCCCTCAAACCATCACGCCTGAGTACGAAGTCGGGAAGAAGCTCCTCCAGTGCAGCGATGTGAGCAACGCCGTCTTATGACCGACCGACCGTGTGTGTTTGACCGATGACCTTCTCCTGGTTCCAAGCCTTTCTGTTTCATTGCAGAAAACCTACCGGCAGCATCCGGACAAAGTGAAGTTCACTCAGGTGGTGGATTCTCCGGTTCAGCTTCAGGCCGCCATCAACGCCAAGCAGCTGAGTGACGTGCGTACGCTCCGATTACCTCAGGAATATCTACTTATACAAAGAGAACACATAATACCAACAAATGGTTGCATCGATTCATTTAAATCAGATGAAAATATGGACGTGTCTATTTAACTATTATAACAAGCACTTCTTTTATTTGAACAATACCTGCATGTGATATATGATAAACTGACCTGATAAAACACCATCAATTATTATAATCAAGAGGAAGTGAAAGGTAAACTATTCTAAAGCAGAGGATGTAAACTGGTTTAACAAAGTGAGATATTGTAGGTAATCACTTTTAGTAGCGTAATAAAATCAGCGTGATATGAGAGGAGGTCAGTCAAAATTGGTTCATATACAATTTTTGTGAACGTCATTTCTTTTTAAATATTGTCGATTCATTGACAAAAATCGCTCGAAAGTTCCTCCAGTCTGGAAGAGAAAGAGTAAAATGACCAGAACATGAAGTAGGATTTGATCCTTACAATAAGTCATTCATTCATAACTTCATGACTGTTTTTTCTTCATTCCAGCTGAACTACAAAGCGAAGTACGAGGACACCAAGTTTAAGAACTGCCTGCCCCCCGACTATCCCTTCTTCATCCAGTCCAGAGTCAACGCCTTCAACCTCAGCGACGTGAGAACGTCTCTCCCAACTTACAACCGCCGCCATCTTTGATTTGGTGGAAATCTTTTCATTTTCCCGACTCCGTCTTTTCAGAACTGTTACAAGTACGACTGGGAGAAGTCCAAAGCCAAGAAGTTCGAGGTTCGGGGCGACGCCATCTCGATCCTCGCCGCCCGCGCTCACACCAACATCGCCAGCGACGTGAGTCTCTTTCTCCTCCAGCACGTCACGGCATTGACCTGCTCATCGATCGCCTTGTCCCCGCTCCTCGCAGGTCAAATACAAGAAAGAGTACGAGAAGAACAAGGGCCAGATGGTCGGAGCGCTCAGCATCAACGACGACCCCAAGATCCTCCACTCCGTCCACGTGGCCAAGATCCAGAGCGATGTGAGTCCTTTGTCACCCAATCAAGAGAAAGCTGAAGAAAACACATTGATAACTCAAAAATGAGAAAGTTAATTAACAGGCTCCCATAACTCTTCTCATTGAAACATCCTCTGCTCTGCTGTGTTCAGTCATAGCTTCTCTGATTTACTGTCACATGACAGTTCATCAATCATGTCTTCATAGTTTTCCACTCCTCGCTTTTTAACATGAATCCATCGGAGCTGAAATGAGAGTCCAACAATCTGTCCAATGTGTCCACAGCGTGAATACAAAAAGGACTACGAGAAGACAAAGACCAAATACCACGCGCCGCTCGACATGATGTCCGTCACCTTGGCCAAGAAGTCGCAGGGCATCGCCAGCATGGCGGGCTACCGCAGCATCAGCACCAACTACTTCATCCCCCCCGACAGCGTGCTGATGGAGCTTGCCAAGAAAGCCAACACCATCCAGAGCGACGTGAGTGCAGGCCGAGCTCTCGCCGCGCGCTCCTGATCCCCACTGAATAATAGACTGAGTGACATCGTTTCATTCACAGAATGACTACAAGTCAGACTACAACAGCTACACCAAGGGCTCGCCGTGGATCCCCTTCGGCTGCCTGGAGGTGGAGAAGAACAAGAAAGCCGCGGAGATCCTGAGCGAGGTATGCGCGGCGCCCCGGTCCTCCTCCCCCTGTGGCATTTAATCACTTTCTGACAGTGCAGGTTTGCTTACCTCCTGCAGAGAAGATACAGAAAGCACCCCGACAAGATCCCCTTCACCTCCATCGACGACCACCCTGTGATGATGCAGGCCAAAGTCAACCAGCTCCAGAGAAGCGACGTGAGGCGACTGACCGCACACCCCTCGGCTCTTTTCTCACTTCTACTTGCTGAATTGTGACTGTGTTTTGCTTCTAGTTGTTCTACAAGAGAGGCCTGGAGAAGATCCACCAGAAGTTCTCTCTGCCGGCCGATCTCCCCGAGTTCGTCCAGGCCAAGTGCAACGCCTACAACGTCAGCCAGGTGAGAAGAGCTCTCTTTTTATAAGATCAAACAAGCCGATTATTCTTTCATAGCTAAGAATGTGTAGTGTTCGATTTCATTCATACTCAATATCAATGGAAAGAAGAATCAGCATTTGGGATTCACTTGGCGAGCTGAACTCAACACGACAAAATTAAAATTTATTATTATTAAATTTTTAATTTGACTTCATTTGAATGTTGTTTCCATAACATCACCATTCACGTAAAGTGTCGTAGACGTGTCCCAGATGTGGAAGTAGAGTTAGCGGTTGAGGCATAGCGTGTGAGACGTGTGGATCATCTAAACGCCGTGTTGTACCTGGTGGGCCCCAAACGCTCCTAAATGTTGTCCTCCTATCTGTATTCTGGGATTTCAGAACTACTACAAGCTGGCCTGGCAGGAGCTGATTGCCAAAGGTTACGACCTGAAGCCTAATGCTATCTCCATCGTTGCTGCCAAAGCCGCCCAGCACGCAGCAAGTGATGTAAGTTCCAGTGCAACATCCTACCAGACTGATGTACTTTTTGCATTAAATAATGGATAATTAGAGACTTTAACTTTAACTTGTAGGTCCAGTATAAAAAGGCTTACCAGAAGGCAAAGGGCCACCATGTTGGCTTCCGCAGCATCCAGGACGACCCCCTGCTGGTCCACTACATGGGGGTGGCCAAGATGCAGAGCGAGAAGAACTACAAGAAGGACTACCATAAGTCCAAGCTGAAGTACCACACCCCGGTGGACATGATGAGCGTGGTCCAAGCCAAGCACGCCTCGTCTGTACAGACCTACACAGGCTACAAGCAGCCCAACCACAAGTACTTCCTGCTGCCCGACGCCATGAGCCTGGGCCTCGCCCGCAACATGAACTACAACGCCAGTGATGTGAGTTCATTTCAAGGACTTTGGGGTCAGAATGGAGGGAAATGTGAAGAGGTGTTCCTGCAGGGCTGATACTTCAGCATCTTCTCTTTTCCTCTACAGTATAACTACAAACTGGACTACGAGACCTCGGTCAAGGGAGTCGGCTGGGTTCCTATTGGTTCCCTGGAAGTGGAGAAAGCCAAGACAGCAGGAGCAGCTCTGAATGAGTCAAAGTACCGCCAGCACCCTGACACCTTCAAGTTCACCAGCACCGTTGACTCCATGAGCATGGAGCTGGCCAAGACCAATGCCAAGACCATGAACGCGGTGAGAAGGAGCAAACAATGTGAATCTGAGGATTTTAAGCCTTTAAACTTCTCTCTGGAATAGAGATTAAAGCAATCTCTTCATTGTGATTGTGCAGAAGGAGTACAAGGCCAGTGGAGAGAAGTTCATGCACACTTACCATCTCCCCGCTGATGCTCCCGAACTGATGCAAGCCAGATACAACGCTGTCAACATCAGCAAGGTCAGCTGCAGACTCCAGCGTGGAACGTATGAAGAAATGAAACAGTTTGTTGTATTTCTCACAAACCAATCATTTTGTTTAGAATTACTACACCTATGCTCATCGTCAAGATCTGCTCAAAGGCCATCATGTGAAGGAAGACGCTATCTCCATTGTGGCAGCGAGAAGTTCCAGAGACATCGCCAGCGACGTAAGTTGCGAAAACGATTAAAATGTAATACAATTCCAATATTTCTGAACTCAATAATGGTATTCATACTGTGGTGGACTTCTAACGTTTCAATTTAAAAATCAAGTTGTCTTTCAAGAGTTTATTATAACTTTGGCATTTAAGCTCAGATCATCACAGCAATCAACACCTCAGTCTTTGCAGATAAAAAGCAAGAGTAAAATTCTTTTACATGTGAGAGACAGTATGATTTTTTTGAGGACAGGAAGTGAGAGGTTAAAAGAAAGAGAGAGTTGAAGTCGCAATCATCAAAACATTTTTCATTATTTAATTTTCTCCCTTTTAGCATACTATTCAAATTAACATTATGTGAGCAAATGCAATGCGTTTTCTTTTTACAGTACAAATACAAGCTGGCTTACGAGAAGGCCAGAGGCCACCACGTGGGCCACCGCAGCATCCAGGACGACCCCCTGCTGGTCCACTACATGGAAGTGGCCAAGATGCAGAGCGAGAGGAACTACAAGAAGGACTACCACAAGTCCAAGCTGAAGTACCACTCCCCAGTGGACATGATGAGCGTGGTCCAAGCCAAACACGCCTCTGCTGCCCAGACCTTTACTGGTTACAGGAAGATCCCTCACAACTACCTCCTCCTGCCCGACAACTTGCACCTGCAGCGGTGCCGCAGCATGATGGAGATTCAGAGCGACGTATGTATTGAATACACAGAGAGACAACAGTTAACACATCTGGGAGCTTTTTGAACTTGATTTTCTTCTTAAACTCACAGAATGTCTACAAGTCGGATTACAATAGTTACAGTCGAGGCTGTGGCTGGGTCCCCATCGGCTCTGTGGACGTAGAGAAGGCCAAAGTTGCCAGAGCTGCGCTGGCTGAACGTGGCTACCGTCAGCATCCCAGTACTTTCAAATTCACCAGCAAGACTGACGCCATGAACACGGCTCTGGCTCTGGCCAACACCAAGCACATGGACGACGTGAGAATTTTGCACCGCTTAACATATGTTAAAATATCGATGCACGTCGGACTAAAACTCCTCCTTAAAGAACATCAATTTACCGGGTACCTCTTTTCTATGCTTCCCTCTAGGCTTCGTACAGAGCATCTGGAGAGAAGTTCAAGCACACATATCATCTGCCGGCCGACAGCCCAGAGTTCCTTCAGGCCAAGTTCAACGCTCAGACGATGAGCAAGGTCAGAGCACAATGTAGCTTATGAAAATATAAATATAATATAAAAAATATAAATTATAATGCAAAATGTATCAGCCTTAACTGTGCATAAACACATGGTCGTAACTGCTGTTTACCCACAGAGTCACTACAAGCAGAAGTGGCTGGCAGATGTTGCCAAGGGATACGACATGAGGACTGATGCTATTTCCATCCTGCACGCCAAGCAAGGAAGACATATTGCCAGCGATGTATGTAAATCATAAAATTCTGCCCCTTTTTTCATTGCAACTATTGGAAACTCACTTGTGTTCTTACTTTTATCAGGTCCAATACAAGAAAGCATACGAGAAGGCCAGAGGCCACCATGTTGGCTTCCGCAGCATCAAGGACGACCCCCTGCTGGTCCACTACATGGAGGTGGCAAAGATGCAGAGCGAAAAGAACTACAAGAAGGACTACAACAAGGCCAAGCTGAAGTACCACACCCCAGTGGACATGATGAGCCTGGTCCACGCTAAGCAGGCCTCTGCTGCCCAGACTATGGCAGGATACAAGAAGATCCAACACAGTTACTCTCTGCTCCCCGATGCCATGAACCTGAAGCTGGCTCGCACCATGAACGTCCAGTGTAGTGATGTGAGTGTACTAATTCCAGCTGCGCTGTGCCCACAACAACTGCATATGTTTGTAAAGGCACGTGACTTAATAATTGCAGTACAATCCTTTGTTTGACAAGATTTTGCACCTATTTTTGTAGTGGGACTACAAGTCTGACTATAACAGCTATGTCCGAGGTACCGGATGGGTCCCCATTGGCTCCATTGGAGTTGAGACCGCTAAAATTGGAGGTCAGATTCAGAGCGACAATCGCTACCGCACTCATCCATCCACCTTCAAGTTCAGCAAGCTGATGGACTCCATGGACCTGACCCTGGCCACCGCCAACAACCAGATCATGAACAAGGTGGAGCATTTGTGTACTGTAGAAGTCAGAAAATATGACTTATGATCTTGTTCGTAAGTTTCATCATTGGTTTGTTTGTCTCTACTCGCAGAAAGCATACTCTGCTAAATGGGAGAAGGACAAACTGACCGTCCACGTCATGCCAGATGCTCCGGAGATCGTCCTGGCCAAAGCCAACGCCCTCAACATGAGCAATGTAGGGCGTTAGATTACAAATATGTAGATATGGATAATGTTTTGACTTTTATTTGATTTAAATTAATTTCTGTCTTTTGACAGAAACTTTACAAAGCCGGTGTTTTGGAGATGGCCAACAAAGGCTACCACCTCAAAGGCGACGCTATCCCAATTTTGGCCGCCAAGTCCGGTACCACCATTGCCAGTAATGTGAGTTGAAAATACATGTGTGTACCAAAATCAATAAGTTAATCTAATACAATCTATCATGCATTCTAAACAAGTGTCTATTCACCGTCTCAGTACAAGTACAAGCTGGCTTACGAGAAGGCCAGAGGCCACCATGTTGGCTTCCGCAGCATCAAGGACGACCCCCTGCTGGTCCACTACATGGAGGTGGCAAAGATGCAGAGCGAAAAGAACTACAAGAAGGACTACAACAAGGCCAAGCTGAAGTACCACACCCCAGTGGACATGATGAGCCTGGTCCACGCTAAGCAGGCCTCTGCTGCCCAGACTATGGCAGGATACAAGAAGATCCAACACAGTTACTCTCTGCTCCCCGATGCCATGAACCTGAAGCTGGCTCGCACCATGAACGTCCAGTGTAGTGATGTGAGTGTACTAATTCCAGCTGCGCTGTGCCCACAACAACTGCATCTGTCTGTAAAGACACGTGACTTAATAATTGCAGTACAATCCTTTGTTTAACAAGATTTTGTATTTATTTTTGCAGTGGGACTACAAGTCTGACTATAACAGCTATGTCCGAGGAACCGGATGGGTCCCCATTGGCTCCATTGGAGTTGAGACCGCTAAAATTGGAGGTCAAATTCAGAGCGACAATCGCTACCGCACTCATCCATCCACCTTCAAGTTCAGCAAGCTGATGGACTCCATGGACCTGACCCTGGCTACCGCCAACAACCAGATCATGAACAAGGTGGAGCATTTTGAACTGAGCTCTGTAGTTCAGTGACAAAGAAGAGGTCTTTGTATTTTTCACAACAATCATCAGTGGTTTGCTTTTCCGTTTGTCTTCATTTACAGAAAGCGTACTCTGCAGCTTGGGAGAAGGACAAGCTGACCGTCCACGTAACGTCAGATGCTCCAGAGATTGTCTTGGCCAAAGCCAACGCCCTGACCATGAGCAATGTAAGAGGCATATGAGAAACTGAGAGATTGAATTCCATTTGTTCCAGAAAGATCCTGTTTAACCCAATTCCTCAACAAAAGAATTTGAGAGGTTTACAATTCGTACAGTGTGCAATATCCTCTGCCATTGGACCCTGCCCCCAAAACACCCCATTATTTGAATGTTAACACATTTTTATGTCACTCACAGAAACTTTACAAAGCCGGTGTTTTGGAGATGGCCAACAAAGGCTACCACCTCAAAGGAGATGCTATTGCAATTTTGGCTGCCAAGTCCGGTACCACCATTGCCAGTAATGTAAGTAACCAAAAAATATATTTACAATACATACCAAATACGAAATTACAATGTAATGTAATATTGGAGTAATATAGTAATATAATGTAGTAATATAAAATAAGAGTACATTGTCTGTGAATGTAAAATATGCGTTTTCCGTCACAGTATAAGTACAAGCTGGCTTACGAGAAGGCCAGAGGCCACCATGTTGGATTCCGCAGCATTAAAGACGACCCCCTGCTGGTCCACTACATGGAGGTGGCAAAGATCCAGAGCGAAAAGAACTACAAGAAGGACTACAACAAGGCCAAGCTGAAGTACCACTCCCCAGTGGACATGATGAGCGTGATCCAAGCCAAGCAGGCCTCTGCTGCCCAGACTATGACGGGATACAGGAAGATCCAACATAGTTACTCTCTGCTGCCCGATGCCATGAACCTGCAACTGGCTCGTAACATGCAGATCATTGCCAGTGACGTATGTAGAGAGTCTCGACTTCATCATCTTAAATGTACTGTAGCGACTCTCGCTAATGAAGCTCCGGACAACTTGTTTTTCTTAAGAATTTATTACGAAACCGGCCACTGTCGGCCGTAGCCTACGCCGAACAGAAACGACCGCTTTCAAGCACCAGAAACCCACAACACGTTCCGTCACTTAACCCCCCCGCCAACATCACCACAACACATCCCGATAGGTGGCACGAGGATGATTGACATAAAACATTGTGAGCCCTTCACTGAACTTCTAAACTTCGTGAATGTGTAGCTCGCTCACAGAACATGTAAACAACAGTCCGTTACAGTACATTTAGAACGTAGATTTCCAAAGCTCTGCATTGCTGTGCTGCGTTGTGAAGGTAATTTTTTTATATTCTCCCTCAGAACCAGTACAAGAGTGAATATGACAGCTACATAAGGGGAACAGGATGGGTTCCCATTGGTTCGTTGGATGTTGAGAAAGCAAAACTTGCTGGAAAGATCTTAAGTGAGGCCCAGTACCGTCAGAGTCCGACCAAATGGAAATTCACCAAGGACATGCACTCCATGGATCTGACATTGGCATCTGCCAACAACCAGATAATGAATAAGGTACAGGCTGGGACTACCTGTGAAAATAACACAAATATCTCTTCTCTAGCATTTATGTATAAGTTATGAGCCCTTCAACTACTTTATGGTTTCAGCAATCCTACATCACTGCTTGGGAGAAAGACAAGACTTCTATCCACATCATGCCTGATGCAATGGACATTGTTCTCGCTAGAGGAAACAAGAAGAACGTCAGTGAGGTACAGCGTGATGACTTCATTGTTCTTGCTCCATTATACTTTGTTATTTAATGTTTATGTCTTTAAAACATATATAAATTTATAGATAGATGGACCAGATATCAACCATTGACAAAGTAGGAACCATTGTGTCCCTTTCAGATGAAAAAATAAAAATAAATTAAATATTTTTATTCTCTCCCTCTCTTCAGAAACTGTATAAATTGGACAATGAGCTGTCCAAGAAGAAGGGCCATAATCTCCGGGGTGATGCCATTGCCGTCCAAGCTGCCAAAGCCTCCACAGCTATAGCTAGTGATGTACGTGTCTGCGTAGTTATTCTAATACTCCACCTTTTGAATATCATTTATTATGCTTTACCCCCTCAACATTGCGTGATAATGGAAACTTTGACGATTACTTCTCCAGTACAAGTACCACGCAGGGTACCGTAAGCAGGTGGGCCACCACATCGGCGCTCGCTGCGTCCAGGACGACCCTCTGCTCGTGCTGGCTCTCAACTCGGCCAAGATCGCCAGTGATGCCCTGTACAAGAAGGACTTCAACAAGTCCAAGACCAAGTTCAACCTGCCGGTGGACATGATGGCCTTTGAGCTGGCCAAGAAGAACCAGATCCAAGTCAACCACGCCAACTACATCACTCGCCTCCACAACTGGACGTGTCTGCCGGACTCCACTGATGTGGTCCAAGCCAGACATGCTTATGAAATTATGAGCGATGTAAGTATGAATCCTTAGGTTTATTTTTTAGGAAGTTATCACAATTATGAATGTTCCTTTTTGAAGTGGTGGAGCCTCTTGTTTCATAATGAACCCTTTCTGTTTGGTCCAGGCTGTGTACAAGGAGGATCAGAAGATGATGCAGGGCATCGGGTGGGTGCCAATAGGTTCACTAGATGTTGAGAAGGCCAAGAAAGCTGGCGAGGCCCTGAATGAGAGAAAGTATCGCCAACCGCCCAGCAACTTCAAATTCAAAATGACCACCGAAGACATGCCCATGGTGTTGGCGAAGGCCAACGCTCAGGTTATGAACAAGGTATTTCCGGAAACTTAAAACGCCCTTTTAGATTTTAAGTAAATGTTTTCATGATATTTTGAAGAATGCTATTTGTTACAACATTGATTTTAGCTCTCATATTTTTTGTAATGCGATGTTGACTCATATGATTCATTCAAACCACATTCAGCACCAAAGGTATGGAAGCCCATATGGGACTAAACTGAAATGATAAAGTAAACATGAAAATTAATTAGCGGTACAATATTTCACACATTGACATAACTAATATCCAATATAGTTTTGCATTTGCCCATACGCGTATGAGCTTTGTTAAGCATATTTAAATGAAAAGCTGGAAAAGAGATTGGAGACATTTTCATGCTGCTGCAGTGTAAATTGATATGTGTGCATGCTGCAAATACAAGTTTTTATAATGTTATTATTCAGTGTGTTTTATTTTCCATTTAACGCTATGCATTCTATTGAACTCTGTTTCCTTCCTATTTGTATTATAATATCAAGTGTCTTGTCACATTTTTCCTGTTTTTATGTACTTTCTAAATCTGTTGCCTATTATTGCAAAACGCTCTGTGCTGCATTTCTTGTGATAAAGATGGTATAAAAATGAAGTCTATTATTATTATTATTACAGCAATCTTACATACAAGCGTGGGAGAAAGATAAAACCACCATTCATCTCATGCCCGATGCCATGGACGTTCAACTGGCCAAAGCAAACAAATCCAACTACAGTCTGGTGAGTCCTTCTCCATCATTTTAAAAATAAGAGAAGTTGTTGTCATAGCTTCTGAGGCAGCATGCTTGTTGTTACTCCACAATTCTCCAAAAGATGCTTCAAAGCTTTTTGTACTTTTCTCCTTTCTACACAGAACATGTACAAGCAGGCCAATGAAGAAGCCAAGAAGAAGGGATATGACCTGCGTAACGACGCCATTGCCATCCTCGCTGCCAGGGCTTCCAGGGACATTGCCAGCGACGTAAAATAATTTACTTTCCACTCATTAAAATTAGCAAAAATAATACTTTTTATGAAAAAAAGGTTAAAAGGACACACGCAAAGTTTTAATAGCATTGGATTTTATTATCAATGTATCCATAGTTTTGTGGTGTATTGTTACCAATGGGATTAACTAAATGCTTAAAGTACACTAAATGATGTGAGGCAACGTCAGAAAACATACACTGCTGATGATTTTTTGGCTTTAGAACAACTGTAAATGTTTTAATCGGTTCCTTTGTGCTTCATTTGCAGTACAAGTACCACGCAGGGTACCGTAAGCAGGTGGGCCATCACATCGGCGCTCGCTGCGTCCAGGACGACCCTCTGCTCGTGCTGGCTCTCAACTCGGCCAAGATCGCCAGTGATGCCCTGTACAAGAAGGACTTCAACAAGTCCAAGACCAAGTTCAACCTGCCGGTGGACATGATGGCCTTTGAGCTGGCCAAGAAGAACCAGATCCAAGTCAACCACGCCAACTACATCACTCGCCTCCACAACTGGACGTGTCTGCCGGACTCCACTGATGTGGTCCAAGCCAGACATGCTTATGAAATTATGAGCGATGTAAGTATGAATCCTTAGGTTTATTTTTTAGGAAGTTATCACAATTATGAATGTTCCTTTTTGAAGTGGTGGAGCCTCTTGTTTCATAATGAACCCTTTCTGTTTGGTCCAGGCTGTGTACAAGGAGGATCAGAAGATGATGCAGGGCATCGGGTGGGTGCCAATAGGTTCACTGGATGTTGAGAAGGCCAAGAAAGCTGGCGAGGCCCTGAATGAGAGAAAGTATCGCCAACTGCCCAGCAACTTCAAATTCAAAATAACCACCGAAGACATGCCCATGGTGTTGGCGAAGGCCAACGCTCAGGTTATGAACAAGGTATAAATCTTCCAACTAAAAATGTAAATGATACAAAATGACTGTTGAACCTTTTGTCCCTTTCTCTCGTAAAAATGCTAACTTGCAGAGTACACAGACATATTTGGTTTTTGTATCTTTGGTTTCTATGACAACAGAAAACATATGTTGAAGCCTGGGAGAAACAGAAGTCAAAGGTCCACATCATGCCTGACGCTATGGATGTTCTTCTAGCCAAAGCCAACAATGTCAACTACAGCTTGGTAAGTAAGAATAAAAAATGTAAAAGTAAATTAACACTCATTTATGAATAATATAACAATGATACACTTTAGTAAAGGGGCGGCACGGTGGTGTGGTGGTTAGCACTGTCGCCTCACAGCAAGAAGGTCCTGGTTCCACTCCGCCCAGAGGCCTTTCTGTGTGGAGTCTGCATGTTCTCCCCGTGTCTGCGTGGGTTCTCTCCGGGTTCTCCGGCTTCCTCCCACAGTCCAAAGACATGCTTTGGGGATCAGGTTGATTGGGGACTTTAAATTGCCCGTAGATGTGTGAATGTGAGTGTGAATGGTTGTATGTCCCTGTGTAGCCCTGTGATTGGCTGGCGATCAGTCCATGATGTACCCTGTCTATCACCGGAAGTTGGCAGGGATGGACTCCAGCCCCCCCGCGACCCTGTGCAGGATAAGCGGTTTGACAATGAATGGATGGATGGATGGACAATTTAGTAAATAGCACTTTTTACTAAAGTGCTTTTTTAAATTAGGACTCAAATATATTCTGTATTATTTATGGATGATTTCATTCTATCAACACATATCTAATACCCCAGCCCTTTTTGGAATGAAAATCAATGTACTTATGTGTTTGGGGCTTTGTATTTACTTACAGAAAAAGTACAAGCAGGCAAATGAAGACTCCAAGAAGAAGGGCTACGACATGCGCCAAGATGCCATTTCTGTTAAAGCAGCCAGAGCTTCTACTGACATCGCCAGTGATGTAAGTGTTTCATTTTAGTAACAAAGAAAATAGACAAAATGGGCGGCAGCAAACTAATCTATGTATTGATTTAATTTGTCCTCCAGTACAAGTACCACGCAGGGTACCGTAAGCAGGTGGGCCATCACATCGGCGCTCGCTGCGTCCAGGACGACCCTCTGCTCGTGCTGGCTCTCAACTCGGCCAGGATCGCCAGCGACGCCCTGTACAAGAAGGACTTCAACAAGTCCAAGACCAAGTTCAACCTGCCGGTGGACATGATGGCCTTTGAGCTGGCCAAGAAGAACCAGATCCAAGTCAACCACGCCAACTACATCACTCGCCTCCACAACTGGACGTGTCTGCCGGACTCCACTGATGTGGTCCAAGCCAGACATGCTTATGAAATTATGAGCGATGTAAGTATTAATACTTGGATTTATTGTTTAGGAAGTTATCGCAATTATGAATGTTCCTTTTTGAAGTGGTGGAGCCTCTTGTTTCATAATGAACCCTTTCTATTTGGTCCAGGCTGTGTACAAGGAGGATCAGAAGATGATGCAGGGCATCGGGTGGGTGCCAATAGGTTCACTGGATGTTGAGAAGGCCAAGAAAGCTGGCGAGGCCCTGAATGAGAGAAAGTATCGGCAACCGCCCAGCAACTTCAAATTCAAAATAACCACCGAAGACATGCCCATGGTGTTGGCGAAGGCCAACGCTCAGGTTATGAACAAGGTATGAAACCATATTTAGATAACTACCTTGTATCATGTCAAACAAGTCTATTGACCACTTGTTTTTATAAAGAAATGACTTAATCGTAAAAGAAATCACTCCATTCTTGTGCTGTTGTTTTTCTACGACTACAGAAATCATACGTTGAAGCCTGGGACAAAGAAAAGTCAAAGATCCACATCATGCCTGACGCTATGGATGTTCTTCTTGCCAAAGCTAACAATGTTAACTACAGCTTGGTAAGTGGAGATATATAATTATGATCATACAATTCTTATTAGGAATTAGTTTCAATAATAAATTCATATACTTAACATATGTGGGATGAATGTGTTTACTTACAGAAAAAGTACAAGCAGGCAAATGAAGACTCCAAGAAGAAGGGCTACGACATGCGCCAAGATGCCATTTCTGTTAAAGCAGCCAGAGCTTCTACTGACATCGCCAGTGATGTAAGTGTTTCATTTTAGTAACAAAGAAAATAGACAAAATTGGCGGCAGCAAACTAATCGATGTATTGATTTAATTTGTCCTCCAGTACAAGTACCACGCAGGGTACCGTAAGCAGGTGGGCCACCACATCGGCGCTCGCTGTGTCCAGGACGACCCTCTGCTCGTGCTGGCTTTCAACTCGGCCAAGATTGCCAGTGACGCCCTGTACAAGAAGGACTTCAACAAGTCCAAAACCAAGTTCAACCTGCCGGTGGACATGCTGGCCTTTGAGCTGGCCAAGAAGAACCAGATCCAAGTCAACCACGCCAACTACATCACTCGCCTCCACAACTGGACGTGTCTGCCGGACTCCACTGATGTGGTCCAGGCTAGACATGCTTATGAAATAATGAGCGATGTGAGTGTAGCTTCTCTTTTAATTTTTTCTATTTTTCTTTCATTTTCTCTTCACGTTGCAAAGAGTGGCTGTAATTTAATGTTGCGTTCCTGCGCCTCATAGGCCGTCTACAAAGCTGACCTGAAGTGGCTCCAGGGCACGGGCTGGGTCCCTATCGGCTCACTGGAGGTGGAGAAAGCCAAAAAGGCTGGAGATGCTTTGAACGAAAGGAAATACCGCCAGCCCCCCTGCAATATTCCCTTTACCAGCACCACGCAGGCCATGAACCTCGTGCTGGCAAAGAATAACGCTTTGACCATGAACAAGGTTAGAGTTCGATTTTATTGGTAAAATGAAAGGTAGTGACTACCCGGCTTTGCAATGGGGAGCTCTCTCTGATATCTTTTGAGTCAATGCCATCAAGTGACGGAAGAAACATTTGTGATTTCTTCCAGCGTCTCTACACCGAGGCATGGGAGAACGACAAGACCAAGCTACACATCCAACCGAACACCCCTGAGATTGTCCTCTCTCAGCAGAACGCTATCAACATGAGCAAGGTTGGGTTTGGGTTTGTGGAAAACCTGAAGCTCTCCAGAATGTAGTGCCTCCATTGGTTAAAACTGCTAACAAGAGTGTGTTTTGGTTTTTAGAAATTGTACAGACAAGGCTATGAGGCCACTATCAACAAAGGATATTTCCTCCCCGTGGATGCAGTGTCCGTGAAGGCTGCGAAGGCCTCCAGGGACATCATCAGTGATGTAAGTGGATCATGCACGCACCTGTATTATCACAGCGGGCTAGCCCTAACAGTACCATACATTCATTTAAGGTAGATAACCACAACAACACAAAAAAAATACTCAAAAGCTTATTCAATGCTGTATTTGAAGACTGCAATAGAAGCTTTGAATTAAAAGAATATACATTTGTTATAGCCCTATGATGACCAACTGGAATAAGGCATTTTGTGAGGGGTTGTTTAATCTCTGACTAAACACTTTCTGCTGATATCATCAGTACAAGTACCACGCAGGGTACCGTAAACAGGTGGGCCATCACATCGGAGCCCTCAGCGTCCACGACGACCCTCTGATCGTGCTGGCTCTCAACTCAGCCAAGATCGCCAGTGACGCCCTGTACAAGAAGGACTTCAACAAGTCCAAGACAAAGTTCAACCTGCCGGTAGACATGTTGAGCCTTGAGCTGGCCAAGAAGTGCCAGATCCAAGTCAACCACGCCAACTACATCACCCGCCTGCACCAGTGGACCTGCTTGCCGGACTCCAATGATGTTGTGCAGGCCAGAAAGGCCTACAATCTTCAGAGCGACGTGAGCCCTGGTCTTACACATTTGACATATGTCAACATGCCTTTAATCGACCAAGCCTAATTTTTAAATACTTGTTTCCCCAACAGGCTGTATACAAAGCCGACCTAGAGGATATCGTGGGCGTAGGATGGGTCCCCATTGGTTCGCTTGGTGTGTTGAAGGCCAAGAACGCCGGTAGAATTCTCAGCGACCATCTCTACAAGTTGAAACCAGACACACAGAAGTTTACAACTGATATGACTTCGCTTCCAATGGTCTTGGCCAAAGCAAATGCTGAAATCATCAACAAGGTCAAGAATGTCACATCACTCAGATGCAATCTTGGCACTTTTGTTCCATCTCTTCCTGGGGTTCACAATTTGTGTCTTCTTTTTGTGTTTCTCACCACAGAAACACTACACTGCTGCTTGGGAGGCTGACAAAGTCAAGAACCATATAATCCCCGATTTACCCGAGATTGTGCTCTCCAAAGCTAACGCTTACAACATTAGCAAGGTACTTTGGACCTGTTTGTGGAATCATACATTAAAATATCTGTGTTATGTTTGAATTTCTTCATTATAATCTAACTTCTATCCTATCTCTTCCAGAAACTATACAGGGAAGGTGTTGAGGAGATGTTCAGGAAGGGCTACGACATCAAGTCCGACGCTGTCTCTATCGTTGCTGCCAAACGTGGAAGAGAAATCATCAGTGATGTGCGTCACCCATTAAAGAATTCCCTGAAATAGTGATGTGTGCCTTTATTAGCATGTTCTGTTACTCATCTCTTCACTCTTTTATCTCGACACAGTACAAGTACCACGCAGGGTACCGTAAGCAGGTGGGCCACCACATCGGGGCCCTCAGTGTCCATGACGACCCTCTGATCGTTCTCGCTATGAACTCTGCCAAAATTGCCAGCGATGCCCTGTACAAGAAGGACTTCAACAAGTCCAAGACCAAGTTCAATCTGCCGGTGGACATGTTGAATATTGAGCTGGCCAAGAAGTGCCAGGTCCAAGTCAATGACTTCAACTACAGAACTCATCTGCACAACTGGACCTGCCTGCCGGACTCCAACGACGTGGTGCAGGCTAGAAAGGCCTACGACCTGCAGAGCAACGTGAGAATAACAATTACTTTCACTGTGTTTTGTTGAAAACTTCAATGATGTTGCTCCTTTCAAAAAGGGGATTCAATGTGTGTCCCATCATTTGTAGGCTGTTTACAAAGCCGACATGGAATGGATCAGGGGAACAGGCTGGGTGCCAATCGGTTCAGTCGATGTGGAAAAAGCCAAAAAGGCGTCCGAGATTCTGAGCGAAATCAAGTACCGTCAGCATCCCAGCCGCTTCAAATTCACTGCCAAGACAAGTGACATGCCGTATGTCCTCGCTCAAACAAATGCCCAAACCATGGACAAGGTAGTATACAATATTATTTTAATGCATTTTATTCATCTGGTGGTGTTTTGATGGAACATTTGTCACACATTTGTAATGAATGCTCAAGAAAATTGTTTGGTTTAACCCTCCACCTCCCCCGTCCCTCCCGCTTGAGCCATCAAGTTAGTGATGCTGCCAATCAAAAGAGCATGTGTTGAAGACTCCAGAAGGAGACACCATTTATGTTACTTTTCTTTCTTTCTTATGTCCGTATAAAACGTTTATGTACCTCATTAATTTGCTGTTTCCAGAAAGCGTATACTTCTGCCTGGGAGAACGACAAGCTCAACCTCCACATCAAGTGTGACACCCCAGAAATCATCCTGGCCAAGCAGAACAAAATCAATACCAGTCAGGTAACGCACTGCCCCGTCATGTAGCCATACAACCAATCATTGAAGATGATCATAAGTCAAGTTGTTGATTCTGCTAAAGTTTGAATGAATCACATTGACATATCATTGTTGACCTTTTAATCCAAGATCCCTTGGCATTTTGTATCATGGTGTATATATCAGATGCCGTAACTGAATCTTTCCATTTCCCCAGAAACAATATCGTGAAGGCTACCAGGACACCATAAACAAAGGCTACTACCTTCCCAAAGATGCAATTTCTGTTTTATCAGCTAAGGCCTCTCGAGACATCGTCAGTGACGTAAGTGTGAACCTATTTTCTTCTGAAGAATTTTGTTCTTTTTTTCAGTGAAACTAAACAAAAATACTTTCATTTCCAAATTGCCAGTACAAATACAAGGCCGGGTATCGCAAGCAGCGCGGCCACCACATTGGTGCGCTCAGCATACAGGACGACCCTCTGATCATGTTAGCCGCTAACGCCGCAAAGATCTCCAGCGAAAACATATACAAGAAGGACTTCAATAAGACCAAGACCAAGTACAACCTGCCGGTGGACATGCTGACCATCGAGCTGGCCAAGAAGTGCCAACAGCAAGTGAACGACTTCAACTACAGGACCCACTTGCACCAGTGGACCTGCCTGCCGGACTCCAGCGACGTGGTTCAGGCCAGGAAGGTGTACGACCTGCAGAGCGATGTGAGTGCATGAAAAGATCAAAACCGATGATCTACTAGATAAATGGAGCTTTAAAAGGAGCTTGTGTCCGAATCCATGGAGTTTCTTATGATCCTCGGTCTAAGCTATTCAAAACGTACCGAAACGCAAGAGTATTTCTTTGGGTTTGACCTTCTTCCTGTTTCTAAAGGCCGTGTATAAAGCCGATATGGAGTGGCTGAGGGGATGCGGCTGGTCCCCACAAGACTCCGTGGACGTGGTCAAAGCTAGAAATGCTCAGGCCATCATCAATGAGCGGCTCTACCGCCAGCCCCCGAGCACCGTGAAGTTCACCAGCGTGGTCGACCTCCCAGCGATTGTGTTGTCCAAGCAGAATGCCCACAACATCAGTGATGTTAGTAATAACAACTTTAAAAGCAGTGTTGTGTACACAGGTCGTTATAAATAATAAATAGATACACAGTTTTTGCTTTGTATCCTTCTAACAGTGGAAGTACAGAGAAGTCTGGGATAACGAGAAGCTCTCCTTCCGCCTGCCGTCTGACGCACCCGGCTTCGTTCTGTCCAAAGCCAACGCTATCAGCATCAGCAACGTAAGTTGGCGTCCTTACAAGATCTGCATGAGTTCTGCAGATGGTGGAACTCGTAAGACTCTACGTAACGCTGCTTGTAGTATGTACATAGTACAGATTGTCATCTGCGGGTCATCTGCTGGTGATGCCCTTTGTATTCGAGTTATTTTGATCATATTTTCTTGCTGTGTGCAGACACTGTACACAAAGGCATGGGACGCGCAGAAGGCCAAAGGCTACCACCTCAAGGAGGACGCCATCTCGGTGCTGAAGGCTAGAGCTTCCAGAGATATCATTAGTGACGTAAGCAAAGGACTCTGGATGAGGTTCAAATACAGAGACACTTCTTCATGTTTTTCCCATTCTCATTCATTCTTTTATCTCTTTTTAGTACAAGTACCACGCAGGGTACCGTAAGCAGGTGGGCCACCACATCGGGGCTCGCTGCGTCCAGGACGACCCTCTGATCATGCTGGCTCTCAACTCGGCCAAGATCGCCAGCGACGCCCTGTACAAGAAGGACTTCAACAAGTCCAAGACCAAGTTCAACCTGCCGGTGGACATGTTGAATATTGAGCTGGCCAAAAAGTGCCAGATCCAAGTCAACGACTTTAACTACAGAACTTATCTGCACCAATGGACCTGCCTGCCGGACTCCACCGACGTGGTCCAGGCCAGAAAGGCCTACGACCTGCAGAGCGATGTAGGTTAACAGCAGCACTTGTAGATCTAAGGATATTATGCCCATAATACATAATACATTGTTACTATTCATCACGTAAACTGTGTCTGCTTTGCTTCCTCAGGCTGTGTACAAAGCTGATATGGAGTGGATACGTGGGTGTGGATGGATACCACATGAGTCTGTGGATGTCGTGAAGGTCAAACATGCCCAGAAGGTCCTTGCTGATGTAAGTCTAACTACAATTCGTATTTCCTATTAGTCAGAAATGTATACACAGTAGATATGGATGTAGATAGATATCTTTTAAATATAGAATTTCCCCCAAATGCTGGTGTTAATTAAATGAGATGTATTATTCTCCTGTCTGGTTTTTGTTTCTTTAGAGAGGCTACCGTGTCAAGTTGGATGATCAGAAATTCACTGTCAAAACTGACAGAATCGACATGGTTCGTGCCAAGAATGCGGCTGCAGTCCTCGACGAGGTGAGCAGGAAACTCTGCTGATCCCAGGTCGATTTGGATTTGTTCGTTTGAGTCCAATGGGTCCAGATCCCCCACTATGGGTCACCAAAGCTTTCATATATGGGAGCATTTCATTCATCTCTATGGGGATTCTAAATCAAATAGTTATTTTTAAAGTATACACAGTTTCCTAAACAGAACTGTTATCCATTAGAAATGTCTTGAGTTAAGACAACCAAAGAGCAGTAACAGAAATAAACATAATACAGAGAATCGAATTAAAAAATTGCAGGGCGCTAAAACATTTAATGTCCTGGTGACAGATTGGAGTTTTCTTTCTGACTGACTAACTGAATGTTGATTTATCGCTCTGCACAGGTTAAATATCGCGAGGCCTGGCACAACGACAAGACCAAGTTCACGTCCTCCGACACACCGGTTCTCGCCACAGCCAGAGAGGTGGCGAAGAACCTTCACCCGGTGAGACCAACTCCTCGACGAGTCAACAGTTCTTTGTCCTTTACTGAGTAAGCGTTACGTTGTGAGCCACCTGTATAACGATTTCCACCTCTTGCAGAAACTGTACACCAAAGCTTGGGATAAGGTCAAAGCCACGGGCTACTTCATGCCCGGAGACGCCGTCCCAATCAAGCAGTGCATCCAGACCAGTAAAGTTCAGAGTCAAGTGAGTATCTGGGACGAACTCGTTTTCACCCCAATAACCATGTTGATTAGAATCGTTGCACTGAACATTTCTGTCCGTCCCGCAGCATAAGTACCTCGAGAGTTACCGTAAGCAGGTGGGCCACCACATCGGAGCCCTCAGCGTCCGTGACGACCCTCTGATCATGCTGGCCCTGAACTCCGCCCGGATCGCCAGCGACGCCCTGTACAAGAAGGACTTCAACAAGTCCAAGACCAAGTTCAACCTGCCGGTGGACATGCTGCAGTTCGAACTGGCCAAGAAGTGCCAGATTCAAGTCAATGACAACATCTACAGAACCCGCCTGCACAACTGGACCTGTATGCCGGACTCCAGTGATGTCATCCAGGCCCGCAAAGCCTACGACCTTCAGAGTGATGTGAGTGCTCATCCCAGGACGCCGCTGGCACATTCATGCAGGCTTTTTTTAACCATTAGTTAGTTTCGCAAAAAACGTCTACTTTGTGATATTTGGGTGATTAGGACCTAAATATTTCTCCTGCATGGAGAGAAATTGATCTGCAAACAAAAGTATTGTGTCTCACAAAAAATTCCAGTGCAGAACTCGTGTGAACAACTAAAGACCACAAGTAAAACATGACATTTTAGTGCAGTAACTACTTCAGAGGAGGAATGACCATGTTGGGTGAGCTCTGTGAATTGGAGGACACTGTCTTATCTACGAGGGCAGAAGGAAAGCACGCTGTAGTAGAACAACCTCCAGTGATGTTGATTTCATCATCAACTTAGGTTGCTCTCTTTGGGCAAACTCTCATTTAAGGTGGAAAAACCCTCTCCGGCACTTTGCAGCTGCATCTTTGGTGACTCATAAATCTATAATGAGGGTTATGCCTATTTATGTGACATGAAAACATAGAAACCACCATCAATCATGTCTTGATATCTTGCTTTCTGTCTACAGAATGTGTATAAGGCGGATATGGAATGGATTCGCGGCTGCGGCTGGATAGCAGCTGAATCTGTTGACCACGTCAAGGTCAGGAAGGCCCAGGAGATCATCAACGAGGTGGGTAAACTGCATTGCATTCAGTCTTTTAGCACGATTTCCCCCCTTACTTTCGTACCAGGTGTTTGTGTCTCACCTCCATCCTGTGTGTTTGTCATTGCAGAGGCACTACAAGAAACATGCCAAAGACTGCTTCTCAAAATTCACCCATGTAGCGGACCGTCCTGAGATCGTCTTGGCAAAGATAAACGCTGCAAACCTCAGTGATGTATGTTAAATGTAAAGCATCTGATTCTGACTTCTTCATTTCAAGTAGCTTGGGAATAAACACAACTATGTTGTTGTCCTCTGCCACAGCTGAAGTACAAGGAGACATTCAATGCAGAGAAGGGTCAATATATCGGTTCAGAAGACACCCCTCAACTGGCTCACAGTAGGGAGGCGTCCAAGAACATCAGTGAGGTAATGCAAAGCATTTAATTGTTTAAATGTATTCATTTGTATGATGTCATACATCTGAGCTTTGGTTTTACACTGTGTGCCCTTGGGATTTCAGAAACTCTACAAGCAGCAATGGGACGAGTCGAAGGCTACCGGCTACCAGCTGAACCACCAGTACATCCCACTGCTCAGCGGCAAGAAGGGCCGGGAGATCATCAGCGATGTGAGCCCCTTCTTGTCCATGCCAATTAGAAGAAGTCCTGATTTTATTCTGGCAGAATGTAAACAACGACGGTTGTTATTCTGGATCCTACCAGGTCAAGTACAAGGATTTGCACGAGAAGGCCAAGGGTCACTACATGGCCGGGACGCTGGTGGACTTCCCCGAAGTGATGCGCTGTGGAGAGCAGGAGAAGAACAAGGGACTGGTAAGACATCCCCGATTACTGTACTGAATACTCCTGTATTCGTCTCAGACAGACTATATAGAAACAATTAGAAACTTTATCACCAGAGATTATTTACATTCTTCTAAAATGTCATTTTAGGCCAGTTTGTAACACATTAGTAATGATGATGTCATCAGCTCCCCGTGGTCTGAATGTCTTCACAGAGGGTCTACACAAAAGACTACAACCACACCAAGACCAAGACCCACCTCCCACCAGACATCATCGCCAACCAGGTCGCTAAGCGTTGCCAGGACATGCTAAGCGACGTCCTCTACCGCACATACCTGCACCAGTGGACATGTCACCCCGACCAGGAGGATGTCATCCGAGCCCGCAAGACCAATGAGATCCTCAGTGATGTAGGTTCTCCTTCAGGGCTCATCTCCTGCTCCCGATCCTCCACAGACCTCCATCAGTAAAGCAGACCAGACAAGATGTCCTTTAATGTTGCTGTTGTCCTTCAGGTCTTCTACAAGGACGACCTGAACTGGATGAAGGGGATGGGTTGCTTCGTCTGGGACACGCCGGAGATCGTCCGAGCCAAGAAATCCTACGAGCTGCAGAGTGAAGTGAGAAACGCCGCCAGCGTTCTTCATATTCAAACATATATTTGTACGATCATCTTCTCATCATTCTTCTTCCCTCTCAGCTCAAATACAGAAATGAGGCCAAGAAGGAGTTCAACAATTACTCCATCGTGACGGACACACCGGCCTACGTGACCGCCGTCCTGGGTCACACCTGGGCCAGCGACGTGAGTTCAGAAAAACACAAATACGCAACCCTGCAGTCAAAAAACACCCGATGGCGTGCGTTGATTCAACCCCCTCCCTCCTTTTTGATGTCCACAGCTGAACTACAAGGAGGCGTATCACAAGGAGAAGCACCTGTACACCACCGTGTTGGATACGTACGACTACGCCCGATGCGTCAACTTCAAGCACTTCTTCAGCAAGGTGAGTTCTCTCCTTCCATCCAGGTCGTAGAGCTTTCGAAGGCTTGTTGAACGGGCAATGACGTTGTGTGCCCCCCCCCTCCCCCCACCCGTTCACAGAAAGAGTACAGCGCCGCATGGGACAAAGTCAAAGCCAAGAGCTACCAGATCCCTCAAAATTTGCACGTTTTGCAGCACGCCAAGCAGCAGAAGGTCATCCTCAGGGGGGGGAGTATGACCGGGTCCACGTCAACGACACGCTTCCCCAGTTAGAAGTCCCCCAGTTTGAATCCCGGGCCCCCCCCCCCCCCCCTTGCTTTCTAGGTGAAGTACAAGGAGGACTACGAGAAGTTCAAGTCCCTCTACAGTCTACCCAAGTCTCTGGAGGACGACCCCGCCACCGCCCGCTGCGTCAAAGCCGGGAAGCTGGTCCTGGACGTGAGTCGAATTCTCGCTGCGTTTCTCACCGTTAACGTTGAGTGGTGACGGGAGAAATGACACCCGGTGGGTGGGGGCGTGTCCTCCGTCTCTCCACAGCGGCTCTACCGGGAGGACTACGAGAAGACCAAGGCTAAGAACCACATCCCGCCGGACATGCTGGAGATCCTCTCGGCCCGCAACACCCAGTCCACAGTCAGCGGGATCCACTACCGCAAGTACCTGCACCAGTGGATCTGCCTCCCCGACATGCAGGTGTACACGCAGGCCCGCAAGGTCAACGAGCAGCTCAGCGACGTGAGTGTCCCTGCATCCTTTTTCAACTGGCATGTAGTAGCTGTGTTAAAGCGTCTGATGCAATGTAAGGTATCGTTGTAACATTTCAACTGCATCATGTGACCACAGACGTTTTATGTTTAGCAATATGTGAAAAGGATTCGCAGAAGGTTTGAGTATCTTTTGGAGCCTCTAAACCGGCACAAATGAGAGAAGACACGATGTTTAATTCTTAAGAATCAACGAGTGAAATGGGATTTTATGCCAAGAGAAAAGTTTATTGGTGCTTCTCTGTTTTTTTTAATCTGTAAATATGAAGAAATGTTGAGCTAAATCGACCACGTTCACAAATATTACATAACAGTGAACTCATATTTTATATTAATGAACGGCTTCATTCTCTGTGTACAAATCCTGCAACGGTCGAATAGCTTGTAAACTATTTGATTTATCAGCAAAATTAAAAAGTTCCCACATGAAGATAATATAAGAATAAAGACATAATATAAAGAAGACAAACATCTGACATTAAAGCAGCCTTTAGATGTTTGTCTTCTCCCATGTGGACCCGCCCTCCAAAGTGACCTGAGGTCTCTCCCTCCCCAGATCATCTACAAGGACGACCTGAACTGGCTGAGGGGAATCGGCTGCTACGCCGCGGACACGCCGGAGATCATCCGGGTGAAGCACGCCGGTGACCTTCAGAGCGAGGTGAGCGCTCGGCCCCGCCCCCCCCTCCGCTGCTCCGCCCTAAGCGTTCTCCCCTCTGATCCACATCGTGTGTTTTTGTTCCAGAACAAGTACCGAGCCAAAGGCATCGAGTCCTTCAAGGAGTACTCGGTGGTGACGGACACGCCGGTGTACGAGACCTCCAAGCAGAACTCCCTGAACCTGAGCGACGTGAGTGGGCCTCCTCCTCCACGGAGTCCATCACTCACCATTCAAATAAAACTCTATCTAAGCTCCCATGCTTGTTGTTCCAGCTGCACTACCGCTACGACTACAACACTAACATCAAGGGGACCAACACAGCTCCTGCTGTCACCATGGAGACGGAGCGAGCCCGCATGGCCAACTACATCCAGAGCGACGTGAGAACCACGCGTCATAATTAATCAGTCCTTCAGACGTCATGATGAGTGCAAACAATGATTCAATAAATAAGACTAATATCGTCTTGATAGGAAGATTATCATAAATGTATATTTTACAATAATGTTTTTTTTTTTTTATTGTTATTAAGCTGAAAAAGAGCAAATTTGTTTGTAAATGCGTTTCCACTTCACCTTTAAAGCCAAAGGAGTTTACCAATATATTTACATTTGATAAACTGCAGCTCTGATATCTTTGTGTGATTTAGATTCCATGAGCACAAACAAACGTGTGAAAGAACGCTCAAACAAACAGAATGAACACTAGCCTTTAATGAACTGTAGATACGATGTTAAATAAGAAAAGGCTCTTTGGAATGTAGGCGCCTCACCCCGTCTCACCCCGTCTCCCCCCGTCTCCTCTCAGAACTCGTACAAGGAGGCCAACAAGAGCCTGATGCCCACAGGCTACTCCCTCCCCAGCGACACCCCGCTCATCAAGCAGGCCAAGATGAACAGCGTGGTCACCAGCTACGTGAGTGGAGAGCATCCTCCCAGCCTCCTGCTTTCACCGTGGATGCTTTTTGTTACCATCGTCCACTCTGGGCTTTGATCTGTGCAGGTGAAGTACAAGGAGGCCTACGAGATGATGAAGGCGAAGGCCTACACTCTTCACCCAGAGGGCGTCAACTTTGTCAACTCCAGGAAAGCCAACAAGATCACCAACAACGTAAGAGGAGGCGATGTAACCTTATTGACCCGCCCCACAGATTAATGTTACCCATTAAACCCAGTTTAACTCAAATATTTCCACAAGAATTGAAATATTTATTAGCTAAACACATTATTATACAAGATTATTAATAATAAAAATATAAAATAAAATACAATATTTAATTTCAATATGATTCGAATTTTGTGTTTTTAGATTTTTTAAATAAGTAAAATAATAACATTTGGTATATTTGTAACACAAATATTTGTGGATCCTTATAGACCGACTGCTATAATCAATAAATAAAGGGATCTGTATCTGTTAATATGCATCATCAATCATCAATTATTATTATTAGCGGTAATTATTAACTATTTTTTTTACTGCTACGAACTGTGATTGTGATCCGAACCCTTAGATCTAAGAACCCCCTCTCGTTTACCCCCCATCCTCTCAGCGTCTCTATCGGGAAGAATACCACAAGCAGAAGGACAAGATCCACAGCATCTACGACACTCCAGACATCAAACAAGTGAAGATGAACCAGGAGCACCTGAGCGAGGTGAGGAACCGCCTCTTCCCGCCCTCACTCAGGAATCAGGAATCATTTATTGCCATAATGTGTCAGACATACAAGGAATCTGACTTGGCGGTTGGTGCCTGACGGCAGACAGTATGACAACGGACGACAAGACAACAGTGCACGAGGAATAAAATAAAATAAAATGCTATGGGTTACTAGTATAAGGCTATGGGTTAGTTTAAAGGAATAAAAGTTAAAGTTAAAAATTAAAAAACTTCTCTCGCTCCTCCTCTTGCATCAGCATCCTCTCATCTGCCTTTTCTCCTCCTCCAGCTGTGCTACAGAGAGAAGTACTACAACAGCAGAGGTCAGCTGATCTCTCTGCCCATCACGCCCCAGCTGATGCACTGCTACCACGTCAACCAGATCACCAGCGAGGTACGCCCACGTGGTCACGGGACACTTCAAAACCCCGGATAAGAAAATGTTGTTTCACACCATTGTGCTTTTTATTTCATAGCTGAAGTACAAAGAGGACCTGACGTGGCTGAGGGGACTCGGCTGCTTCCTGTACGACACCCCGGAGATGATCCACATCCGTAACATCACCAAGCAAAGGGTATGTCATTCCACCCTCATTCCACCCTCATACCTCATTCCACCCTCATACCTCATTCCACCCTCATCCCATCCTCCTTCCTTACCCAATCCTCATTCCATTCTCATACCTCATTCCACCCTCATTCCATTCTCATACCTCATTCCACCCTCATCCCATCCTCATTCCACCCTCATACCTCATTCCACCCTCATCCCATCCTCCTTCCTTACCCAATCCTCATTCCATCCTCATACCTCATTCCACCCTCATTCCACCCTCATACCTCATTCCACCCACATCCCATCCTCATTCCACCCTCATTTCTCATTCCACCCTCATCCCATCCTCATTACACCCTCATTACACCTTCATTCCATCATCATTCCATCCTCATTATACCTTCATTCCATTCTTATTCCTTATTACATCCTCATTCAAGACTCATTTCATACTGAAGACCAATCTAAACATAAAAAGCTCCACAGCAACACAAGAGGCCTGAGATATCTTTGAAGGAAAGGCTGAAAGGGTGAAATATTAAATCACGTCAATCATCTTTGCCCTTTCTGTCCTTTCTGTGTTTTTTTACAGGCGATCTACCCGGTGGAGGCCAAGAAGAACCTCGCCAACTTCTCTGTGGTCCTCGACACGCCGGAGTACAACCGTGTGACGGAGCTGAAGAGCCACATGAGCAACGTGAGTGGCGGCTGCAAATGGCTCCGTCCTTCTTGGTGATGTTTGACGTATTCTCGGTCCAGTTAATGGCTTCAAATTGGGAGCAATTTGATTGAGAACCATCACTAAACTGTGTGAAATATCTTTGCGATGCAAGAGTCACCGGCTTGGGTAGGAAGAACCCAATTTGGCGGCACGTCTGACGTCTCTTCTTCCCTCTTCTGTCTGCAGATGATCTACAAGGCCCAGAGCAAGCAGGAGATGGCGAAGGTCTCCACCACCGGGGACTCTGTTGACATCCTGAGGGCCAAGTGGGCCCAGCAGCTGACCAACAACGCAAGTTCCACATGACGCTCCGATGCGCCCCCTTCCCACCCCAGCCGACCGTCTAACCGTTCTTTTTCCATCTCCCCACAGTTCCAGTACACCAACGTGGCCAGCAAGGAGCGAGCTCACTTCACCCAAGAGATGGACACCCCGACCATGGGCCACTCCAGGAGGATGAAGGTGGTCTGCAGCGATGTGAGTCCTTCTCCTACTCGACCCCGCCGCCCCCTCTCGTGGAAGCAGAGCGCATGTTGACGACGTGTTTCTTCTCCTCCATAGAACAAATACAAAGACCAGTACGAGAAGATGAAGCACAGGTACACGGCCATCGCCGACACGCCTCTGCTCATCCGGGCCAAGAAGGCCTACCTCCAGTCCAGTGACGTGAGTCCCTGATCAATAACTCAGTAACTGTGCTCCAAAGGTATAAAACCACACTATTTGGTGACCTCAGTCATTCATTTAGAATTTGGTTTTTGTTGTTGATTTATGTTTCATTTTAAGTGTTTGGACATTATGTTGAAAAAAACATCACCAACACCAAAAGCAGGATTTCACATGCTTCACACCACAAACGTGAAATAATAAAAGTTTAATATATACGTGAACAAGAACATGCTTGTTCTCTGTGTCTGCAGCTGCGTTACAAAGAGACCTTCGAGCTCTCTAAGGGTCACTACCACACAGTGAAGGACGCCCTGGACATCACGTACCACCGCAGGGTCACGGATGACATCAGCGAGGTCGGCACATCGCTTCTTTAAGATAGAATCACTGGAGACCATTTGTCTTCTCACTGAGTGCTCCTTGTCTTCCTCAGGTGAAATACAGAGAGAAGTACATCAACTCTCTGGGGACGTGGAAGTCCATCCCCGACCGGCCCGAGTTCTTCTTCAGCAAGATCGCCAACGACAATATCAGCAGCGTGAGTCCCCCCAGACCCCCAGACCCCCCGGCCTCGGTGCAGATGGAGCCAAGCGGGGTCATTGACATTTGGGTAAAATGCTGGTGGTTGTGGTTCCTCTACAGGTGAAGTACAAGGAGGACCTGGAATGGCTGAAGGGCCTCGGCTGCTTTGTGTGGGACACGCCGGAGCTGGTGCAGGCTGAGAGGAACAAGACGCTGTACAGCGAGGTGAGGGGGGCAGATACTCAGCTTTATTCTCAGCTTACATTCTCAATTTCTACAGTAAAGCAAGTGTAATTAAAGATATCGGGTTTCAGGGTTTTGGGCGTCAAATTATAAATTTTACTTTGTGTTTGAAACAAAAGGACGTCTAGAAACGCTCAAGAACGAACTTCCTGGATTTCAATATTTATTCTATTACGGTTATTTATACCATTTATACATACTATATATATATATATATATATATATATATATATATATATATATACCCCTTGACTTCATTTCCAGCCTCTTTTCATGTTTTTGAATCTCTCTTAGTAAGTAAAACATTGGTCTCTCAGCTCTCCCATGATGCATCAGGGTTAAGGCCTTCATCGGGGTCTCATACCCCCAAATTACTTTTGCCAAGTGTTTTTCTGCTTCTTTTCCAATGAAATGGTTCCTCTTCTCGCTGGCAGAGACTCTACAAAGCGACCTACGAGAAGAACAGAGGCAACTTCAAGTACACCTGCGACACGCCCTTCTTCCAGGCCGCCAAGTACGCCTCCACCCTCATCGACGAGGTGAGACCCTCCGCTCTCCGCCCGGCGTAGTCAGCAAAACGCCATGTTCCTCTTACTCTGTAAAGTGGGTTCTTTAATCCCACTTCTGTCTCTAGTCGTCTCTGTTGGACTCTCAGCTTAAAAGCACCATTATTGTTATTGTGATTCATGACTCCTCTTTTCTTCACAGGGAACCACGATGTATAAAATGTCCCTGATGTCATTTACTTCAACTTGTTTCAGCGATCCTTTACTTTAGTAGAAGTAGAAATACCACAGTTTAGAAGTACTCCATTTTTAAGTAAGACTGTTACTAGAATGTTGTCATATTTCTTTCTCTCTTCGTGGAAGAACAGTTGCACGCCAGAAGGAGATGCTTTGAGTAGAACTATAAATACTGGTGGAGTCCAGGTAGCACCTGATGAAGGACTTCAGTTCTTTGTCTTTAACCGCTCTGACGTTCTGAGCAGAGATCCTACAAAGCCACTTATGAGAAAACCAAGGATAAGTTCACCATAACCACCGACGACCCTAGATACGTACTGGCCAGAGCCAACAACCAGATGAGCCAGGTAACCGGGCCCCTCGCCGCGTGCACCACCGGCACCGCCTCCTCCGCTGACCCCCCCCCTCGACCGCTCCGGCCCGCGGACCTCCGCATGACAGAGCGGACGTGTCCGAGTCTCTCCGGCTGGACGGCTGTGAGGACTCTGTCTCTCTCACCTGTGCCATCAGAGAGACGCATTAATCCAGGGGGGCAGGTTTCTCCTTTAGGGGACCAAACGGAAGCCTAGTGGAACAAGCTCAGAGCACTTTGTGTTACGACGCTCTTGATTTCATTCTCTTTTATTATATTCTATATTATACATTATTCATTTGATTTGATTATCGAGCTTTCCGTCACTCTGAAGGCACAGATGAGGACAAACAGATCCTCCGTCACACTCGATCTCCGGAGATCGTCTGTGTTCTTCCTCATGTCCTCACCTTTGGCATGCTGTGTGTACGTGTGTGTGTACATGTGTGTGTGTGTGTGTGTGTGTGTGTGTGTGTGAGAACAGGCTAAGTATAAATCCAGAGCTAAGGAGCTGCTAAAGAGCGGCTGCAATGAGCTTCACCGGCCCGACATCCTCTTGGCCCTTTACCAGTCCACTATGAGCAGTAAGGTAAACACTGGTGGAAGAGAGGTCAGAGGTCACCAGGTCACGCTGCTCCTGTCGCTCCTTCCATCCAAACCACTTCAACCCCTCAAAGGAGGTTTAACTTCATTTCCCCGTTGTCTCCACGCTGTGATCCATCCATGTATTCACTTCTCTTCATGTCTCAGTGATCCTGAACCTCAGGGACTGCTCCACACATTCCACACATTCTAACACATTCCACACATTCCAACACATTCTAACACATTCCAACACACTCCACACATTCCACACATTGGGATGAAAGCTGGATAGTTCGCCAGGTGAACATATGGATTTGGGAATGTGTTACATCCATCCTTTTTTAAAGAACTTTTTGACACAGTTATTGGAAATATTTGGAAACGATCCCACGTAGAGAATAAAATAGTAGCGATTATATCAGGGGAGCCTGATCTTCATCTGAGACGCACAAATACAGAAAGAAAACAGTGATGTAAACTTTACAAATAAAAGAAAATAAAGCTTTTCGCTGCACTTCCCAACTCCTCTTTCGTGCAGATTAGTATCTGTGGACCAGGAGACTTTGTTTGTCTGTCCCTTCGTCTCAGTTACAGACCTTTTCTACTGAACTACTTGCAACTAGTGCAGAACCATTAAAAAAAATATATTTTTTAAACGGCCGATACACAAAACAAAATGTGCAGATTTGATAACTTTAGACTACAGAACAACTGGAACATGAATGCACATATCCTGCGCTAGATGAGCCGTTATGCCGTAGTCGGGTCTGCTGTGGGTGAGCATGAAGAGTCCAGCGTGTCCCAGACTCGTCCCCCTGTCTCCATAGACCCCCCTCTGCAGACTGAATATTGGTGCCACGTGTCCTTGTCTTCATCCTCGTCTGTAGATGCATGTTTCATAAGGCATGTCTTCATGGACCTGTGCACGTCACCACTCCCCTCATTACACACACCCAACCATTCTGCTTCTGAACAACACCTCTCCTTTGAAATGAATAATAATTACAGCGGTAGATGGATTTCATGAGTGGAACTAAATGTCTTTGTCTCCCCTCCTGCTCTCCCCCACCAGTGGAGGTACAGGGAGCAGTACGAACGAGCCAAGGACAAGTTCACCTCCATCCTGGAGACCCCCGAGTACGAGACCCACAAACGCAGCAAGAAGATCACAGACGTGAGACTTTAAGATGCTAAATGCTCGACGGGGTCGTTACGTTTCAATGTGTCCTGACTGACATGACGACTGTTCCTCAGATCATCTACAAGATGGAGCACAACAAGACCAAGGCCAAGGGCTACACCTTGCCTTACGACACCCCGCACACACAGCACATGAAGAGGGTCAAGGACATCACCAGCAGCGTAGGTCCCGCCCCCACCGGCTGCGCCTCTTCAGGTGAAGCTCGTCTTCATGTGGTATTTTTTCATGCGTCTTGCAGATGAAGTACAGAGAAGTTTACGAGAAGAGCAAAGCCCAGATCAACATCGACCCCGAGGCTCATGAGATCCGTGCTGCCAAGGAGGCCTACAAGAACATCAGCAACGTGAGGGCCTCCAGATTCACGTTCCACCTCCAAATACCCCAGAACATTGACCAAGTGTTTGTTCTTTGTTTAGCTCGACTACAAGAAGAAGTATGAAGCGACCAAGAACAAGTGGATCTGGACAGCGGACCGACCCGACTTCCTGAATAACGCCAAGAACTCCTTGCAGCAGAGCGACGTGAGTCCCGGCTTCTCGTCAGCATTTCACCACCTTGAATCAACACCCGGATGAATGGATTTCTGCTTTTATCTCCAGCAAAAATAAACTGTATTCTACTTCTCTGACTGGACCGTTGACCTTGGATCTCTAATGAGACCTGATTCATAAACACGCTCATGTATGGTCCTGTTTCCCCCACAGGTCGAGTACAAGTACGACAAAGAGATGATGAAGGGCTGCGTGATGTCCGTGGTGGACGACAAGTTGACCCTCCTGGCCATGAAGAATAACGACATGGCCAGCGAGGTACGTGCTAAAACCAATGACATCACAGGGTTGAACGTTAGCTCTCGTTAGCTCTCGTTAGCTCTCGTTTACTCCACTTGTCGCCGCTCTCCAGGTGAAGTACCGAGAGAAGTACGAGAAAGGGAAGGGCCACTACGTCCCCGTCAGCGACACTCCCCAAATCCTGCACGCCCAGGCGGTGCGCTCCCTGGTGTCAGAGGTGCGATTCATTTGAAAAGGAAACTTTGGTCACGTTCAGAGAGATGTTCTACCTAAACTGGATGTGTGTTGTCCTCCGTTCCATCCTCAGAGCAAGTACAAGGCGGCCAGTAAGAAGAACATGCAATCCGGTTCCTTCACGACCCTGTCGGAGACCCGGGACACGGTCCACAGCAAGGAGATCAACAAGCTGGTCAGCGGGGTAGGACTCGCCTTCACGTGATGATGGTCCCGGTTTCTAATGATGAAGGTCTCGCACGTGATGAAGGTCTCGCCTTCACGTGATGAAGGTCTTACTTTCACATGATGAAGGCCTCACCTTCACGTGATGATGGTCCCGGTTTCTTATGATGAAGGTCTTGCACGTGATGAAGGACTCGCCTTCACGTGATGAAGGTCTTACTTTCACATGGTGAAGGCCTCACCTTCACGTCATGATGGTCCCGGTTTCTCGTGATGAAGGTCTCGCACGTGATGAAGGTCTCGCCTTCACGTGATGAAGGTCTCGCACGTGATGAAGGTCTCGCCTTCATTTACGGTCCTTTTTGTCTTCTTTCCAGAAATTATACAAAGCGAAGTTTGAGAAGGAGAAGGGCAAGTCAATCTACAACAACATGAACGTTCCACCTGAGGTGCAGCACGCCATGGGAGTGACCAAGAATCAGAGCAACGTGAGTCATCACCTCCAGGAGGATTCATTTCATTTACAGCGGCGAGGTTCCTTCATTCTTCAGTGCGTGCTGTATTCTGCTTTTTGAAAAAACAGGTGGCCTACAAGAAGGAAGCCAAAGCCAACCTCCACTACACCAGCGTGGTGGACCGCCCCGACATCCAGAAAGCCACTCAGGCCGCCAAGCTCATCAGTGAGGTAATCTCACCTGTTAGAGGAAAGTGGGCCTCCCACAACTGGCTGTGAATACACGTGTCCATGTGGCGTGTGAATTAAAAAGTCCACCAGCTATGAAGCCAGATGTTTCATACTGACAATGATCAGAAAATGCGTGATTATTGCCGAAATGATCCTCACAAGGGTCGTGATTATTTGGAGATGCATAATTCTGGGTCTGGTTCTTGCCTCCTCACAGGTGGGCTACCGTGAGAAGGCCCGTGCGGAGGCGGGCCGCGGAGGTTCTCTGGTGCACCGGCCCGACATCGCTCTGGCCACCGAGGTGTCCAAGCTGACCAGCCAGGTACCCGCGGCGCTCCTCCGTCTCCTAGGCAACCGAATGTACCGAATGTAAGATGTCCGGAGTCGGCGGAGATCTACTGTCTGGTTCTGACAGTCAGACCACCGTTGATCCGGGCTCCCTCACGGGGGGGGGGGGGGTCCGTATTTGTGAAAACATTTCTATGCGGGCGCTCAGCATTAGGAGGCTCTTTAAAGGACATTGAGCGAGGGACAGATTGCGGCTCTTAGGCGGCCTCAGGTGTCCGTCCTCCTCCGCAGCGCTTCCTGCCTCATCATCATCCTTCATCATCATCAGAGTACATTTACGTGTTTTAACTGCTCATTTTCACTGTTCACGTCCCCATCCTCATCCCTGTCCTCTTCCTCCGGCCTCCCGTCCTCTGCTCTTCTGTCCTCTTCTCTTCCATCGTGTCCCCGTCTGTGTGTCCTCGTCCCTCCGTCCCACTGCGCTTTGCAGGTGGAGGACAAGCCCTCCCTCCACGGAGCGTCTTCCTATGACACCCCCCAGATGCGCCACATTAAGAAAATGAGTGCGATGACTAGTGACGTAAGGAGGTTGAGGCCCTTCACGCTTCTGCTCTGTCTCTCTGTGTCCTCCTCGTCCGTAACCGTGGGATACCGTTTGCTCTTCTGCAGTTCAGCATCGTGTGCAACCTCTGCTCTTTGCTTCCCCTCACAGACTGTGGCTCATTGTTGCATTTACACTACGTTTGTACTGAAGGACTATTTAACGTAAGTTATGCAACAATGAAACACAGCAGTGTTCCACTTGTGACGCAACAGAAACAACAGAAACATGAGTCAACGAAGACTAGAACGTCCCCCAGAGAGCAGAGCAGCATGCCGCGTTCCCTCACACGGCCGCTTCGACCTTCGTTCGCATGTCTCCGGAAATCTGTACAAAACACACGTGTTGATCTGGTGGTCGGCTTTGTGGTTTCTTCCTTTCTAATCCGAACAGTCAGCTTTCTGACGTGTAAATCAACAGATGAAATAACACGGCAGCTGGATTCACTTGTTTTTAGTGGGTTGGATTCAGGATTTCTCTTTTGTCTTCGTCCAGGCTCCTGAAACACGATTGTACCGCCCGACCTCTGCCTCATATACGCTCTTATATCCATGTATAGATATAGATATAGATATCTATATATCTATATCTGTATATGGAGTCCGTTGACTCTTTGCACGGAGGCTCGGTCTCGTGAGCAGCTTCCTGGTGGCGAAGGTCTCCACCAGGACCAGACCGCTTTCCATCACACGAACTGACGCATGATTAGAAAAGTATAACAAGGGACGCAGACTTCATCTGAGACGTTGTATTTAAAGTCGTACATCATGCAACATGAAAAGGAAGACGTCCCTTTTTATACAATCTGAATAAAAGCATTTTGTTCTCCCAACATCTCGATGGTTTCTGTCTCCACTTCTGCTAAGCTAACCGAGCTAACGCTGTCCCCCTAACAGGTGAAGTACAAGGAGAAGTTTGACAAGGAGATGAAAGGAAGGAAGCCCCAGTATGACCTGAAGAACAGTAAGATTACCAGACGCTGAAGGATGCCAACGTGCTGGCGAGTGAGGTGAGCGAAGAAGCGCCTCGGAGCGCGACGACTTCCTGTCTCGGATCCTCAAACCTGACATCCATGCGTCCTCGCAGGTCAAGTACAAGGGAGACCTGAAGAAGCTCCACAAGCCGGTGACCGACATGGCCGAGTCTCTGTCCATGCAGCACAACCTGAGCACCAGCAAGCTGTCCAGCAGCGTAAGACCCCCCCCCCCCCCAATCCCCCCATCACCATCACCACCACAGGAAGCAGCACTTTAACACCTCCCACCCACACATCCATTACTCTGTGACCTCATCTGGTAGTGACCCTTCTCACCTTTGACCTTGTCACCTCTTCGACCCTCTCATGTTGTAACCTCATCCGTCGTCCTCCTGTAGTTTCATGTTCATCATTTATTAATCATCACTCTGCGATCCTCCATTAAGTCTTTAACCATCATTTTCATTTTCACTTTGACAATTTGGCGTATTATTATGCGTTCAAATGTATAACTGACAGTGACAGATGGATAATCTATTAAATATACAATGAAGTTTTCTCTTTAGAGAATGGAGATCACGTTCATAAATCACTTATATGGTCAAATTGATTGAAGATTGAATATTCTAAATATAAATAGTGCATCAAAAAGCTGAGACAGGAAGAAACTTAAAAAGTTTTCTCCTAAATTAGCAGAGTGGAATCTGATTTTCAAATTAAGGATTAAGTCTTAAATATATATTCTTCAAGTATACGACAAACCATTTATTCTGTGGTGGTTTATTGGGGATTTCTTTCTCATAAATAAATCACCTTAATCTCTTTTAGTAGGATTATCTTTCTCCCATAAAAGTGGGACCTTGTGACGAATGTTAGGCTCCAGACAGTTTGCTGTACTGAGCTGCCCCCCCCCCAACCCCTCCAATCCCCCCAACCCCCC